GCAATTCCCAAACAAGTCTTATATACAAGCACATGGTGTACAGTAACACATTAAACAGAGTTCCTCGATTGTACATAAGATAGGGTCTGTTACGCAAAGGTTCCAAATTAGTCACAAAATGTAGGTTTATGAGTCGAGCCCAGCATAATCTCATAATCCAGTCAATTTTCTACCAATCAAAATGCATGGTCTCGTAACTTGCAGAGTTTATCATTTGGGGTGCTCAACTCAATTATACAATCACAAAGTCACAATTCCAGTGGTTTAGTCATTGAAGACAGTAACATAGCAAATCAACCTGAGCATAGGTTTAGATATACATGTGCATGTGCAGAGTCAATCAATATCCCAAAACGTATTTCACAAATTTCCTAAACGGGGCATATATCTCCAATGAACACGGTCTCAATTATGTAGGTCTAACTGATCCAGATACACATGCAGCAGATATGGAAAAATATGTCGATCCGAATCAAATAATATCCCAAGCAAAAATGTACACGTGTACTAATTCAGAATCAATCAACACATGAGCATTTGTTCATAAATAGTATAAATACTTGGGATAGCGTTCGCAGTATTTTGAGCACTTTCTGGGATGAGTGCAATTACTCCATCCTGAGTAGCAATTCCTACCACTGGTACGAATCTAACTGAGGCATAAGATTTATTCACATTTTGTTCAGTTCGGGGACAGTTCTTTACCATACGGCCCATTTCACCACACCTATAACAAACCCCAGAAATCCGATAACAAACTCCTCAATGTTTCGTACACTGATGGTGGCAAAGGTTCTCGCCGTAACGGCAACTGACGTTGTCGTCTTAAGGTTCCTGCCATTTCTTGTACCATTCTTTCCAGTCTATCAAGTCGGGCTGCGGAAGAGCCTTCCAGCTCATATGCCCTTAATTTAACCATTCTCTACACAATTCTCACTAAACGTTGCCAAATACTGGGATGCCCGATACGAAAATAAACACAGATACACATAGTCATATTCGTACATAGGCACGTCTTTATATTCTCATTTCACATCTCGTACATAATTAATCACATACGTAACAGATAATTGCATACTTATCAGATATCGCATGCTGAACATTTACTAAGTAATTATATACTCAAATCATGTTCATATTTCACATAGACACCCGTAGGCAGAATTGAATGCACATAGACAACTTTTCATGATTTATATATTCATGTATGTGCATTATATCAAAACAAACTTGTTGTACACATTAGTGTAACAATTCATATCTCATATTCAAATCATGTGTGGTACTTCCTTTAGCGTAACATATCATGTTGGTCAAGCATATCAAGTTTCATAATGGAACCTCTGGTACCGGATGACATGTCTCATACATAGGCCACTGTATTGTTTCCCCCGGGCGAGGGCCTGTGCCACGGTATTATTTCCCCCGGGCTAGGGCCCCATAACCATAAGCCACAGTATTATGTCCCTTGGGTGAGGGTCTCCGCTAAGGATACCACAATTACGTTCAAGGAGAATTTTGAACAATTATTCATTCATACAAAACAATAACTTTACAGAGTTATTACTCACCATCTGATTAAGCTTGCATTATACTATACACAAAAGAGTCACAAGTATGCATATACCAAAGAGCATACGTATCCAAATAAGTTGTAATGCAAGTGAATCACAAACTTATAATACATAATCGTTCGCATTAAACATTTAAGCGTATTCTTGATGCTTTCAGATTCATATTTATCACACGAATGCATCCTAGATCTTATCTAGACGCTTATTGCTCTTTTGGACAAGCGTGTGAATTATTAACTCGTGCTTTGATACCACTCTGTCACGACCCGAACCCGCCCCTCTGGATTAAGGCCATAACCGGCCAGTAATCACGAGATTACCTACGGCCTCAAACCAAATAAGACAAAACTCATCAGAGTAAAAGGGGCCAAACAGAAGCAAAATTTAAAACTTTATCCATAGAGCCGTGCTTATATGCACAACATAACATTCCAAACATACATATGTTAATAACTCACAACAGAAACTGTAGTGACATAAGATTCTATACAAACAGGATCATCCAAACTAAGTCAACCCATGAAAACTATATACAGACGGATTCAAAACTTCGCCAACCTGACAAAATGTAAATACATAACAAAAGGGCCAAGACGGGTCTCGTGCGTGAGACACAAGGGCTGACTCTCTCAAAACCTTAGTTGTTCCATACAGACTTCACTGAGGTTGGGTCTAGACCTCTCTTGGTTCACCTACAAACACATGAATGAGCGTGAGCGAAAGCCCAGTGACTAATATCAAATCAAATACAGAAGTTACATAACAATGTAGAACAACATGTTCCAAACGGCCTTAGGCCCAATTCATATTTCCATTTAACAGATATATAACTATACGAAATTCAAATCAAGTGACTGTAGTTCCAAACATTCTGGCCTTTGGCCCATTCAGATTTCCATTCATGTCAAAACGGCCTTCGGCCCATTCATTTATGTCAAAACGGCCTTCGGCCCGTTCATTTATGTCAAAATGGCCTTCGGCCCATTCGTTTACGTCAAAACGGCCTTCGGCCCATACATTCGTGTCAAAACGGCCTTCGACCCACTCATTCATGTCAAAACGACCTTAGGTCCATTTATTTCTATCAAAACGACCTTCGGTCCACTGATTCATATCGAAACGACCTTCGGTCTATTCGTTTACGTCAAAACGGCCTCCGGCCCATACATTCGTGTCAAAACGGCCTTCGGCCCACTCATTCATATCAAAACGACCTTAGGTCCATTTATTTCTATCAAAACGACCTTCGGTCCACTTATTCATAGCGAAACGACCTTCGGTCCATTCGTTTACGTCAAAACGGCTTCCGGCCCATACATTCGTGTCAAAACAGCCTTCGGCCCGCTCATTTATGTCAAAACGACCTTAGGTCCATTCATATATATCAAAACGACCTTCGGTCCACTCATTCCTATGAAAACGACCTTCGGTCCGTTCATATATGTCAAAACGACCTTCGGTCCATTCATATAGGTCAAAACGACCTTCGGTCCGTTCATTTGTTATCAAAACGACCTTTGGTCCATTTATGTTTATCAAAACGACCTTTGGTCCATTTATGTTTATCAAAACGAACTTTGATCCATTTATGTTTATCGAAACGACCTTTGGTCCATTTATGTTTATTCCTGTCAGACTTTTGTCCACAATCCCAATTAGCAACTTATAAAGCTTATAAGGGAATAATAATTGGACATTCACAATCATTCAAATATCAATATTACTCACAGTGATCGGCTTGTGGATTTGCCCTAGAGCTTGACCCTACATATTTCATAAACACAAAAGGGTCACTAACAGTTCAATCCGTTCTCTAATTCACATATTCCTCTTCAGGCTTTATTCTTAACTCGTTAACTCATTTACAATGCACAATGCATGCCTAAGAGTGCTTACAAGTGAAAGAGAACGGAAAGATATAACACAGAATGCATTTTCAGAGTTTCAGAAAACAGGGTCCCCGCTCGAGCGTAGAATACCCCGCTCGAGCTGACCCTTGAGGCCTGCAAAAGTACTGGTTCCATCAAAAATACGCTCGAGCGTTAAATAGGGCGCTCGAGCGGAAGGCCTGTCAAAATAGCTCCCCTGCTCGAGCGTGAATTACCCCGCTCGAGCGGACATCAAGTCTGCAAAAAATACTGGGAGCACGCATTTCTCGCTCGAGCGTCAGGTTCCCCACTCGAGTGGACCTCAAAATTCTGGAAAACCCAGAATTGTGTTCTTGAGCTCCAATTCAATTTTTAACCAACAAAACATGCATGTTATGACTCAAATCTCAAATATAATTATACTAACATGATGTAAACCTTAAATCACAACCCAATGAAGCTCAATTCACAATTAATTCACATGTATACCCCAAAATATGTCAAACTCATCACCAACATGCTCAAATTCAAACATTCAAGACTTACTCTCCCATAATTTGTACATGCATGTGGGAGATGCTCACCATTCTCAACTCATTTGGTGAAGAGGTGGTCAAAACATGAGCTTCCTTTAACATTTCACATGGATTATACGTATTTGTACTCAAACATGCAATTTAAGACAACTTCTTACATGCATGCACAATTTAGCCTTCAATTCAACAAAACCAATTCAATTTCATCATACTCAATTAAATTCATGTTCTTTATTCTTATTCAACTCAGAATTTACAAAATTACTCACCAAAGAGCTTTAATCTTCACAACTATGGTTAATTCTTGAGCTAGCCTTCAAGACTCCAAAACTTCAAGAGCAAACTTAGATGATTTCCCCCTTTCTCTCTCAATTTCGGGTCTCTCACTCTCTCTAGAGAGTTTAATCAGTCAAGGCCACATCAGGGAAGGAATTGAGAGTGTAATGCTCTTTTACATCAAACCCCACTATTCCAAAATAATAATAATAAACAATTGGGCACTAAATTATCAATTTAATCAACTTAATCTGACCCGAATCAATTTCTAATTAAATTTCACCGTAGGCTCTAAAAATTATGCCAATTACAATGGTGCAATCAATTTCGGGTTCTGTGGCCGATAAGGTCTTCAATTTAATTCCCAAGGCAGATTATCCAACAGATATTCCTATGGTGAACAGATAGAACTTCAAAATCACACATTTTCACATAATGGAACACAAAATCATATCAAAACACATAATCACATCATGTTAAGGACCAATTAACGTATTACGGAACAGAGGTATTACAACTCCCTGCTCCTTACTGCACATGCATCCACATCAATAGACCGTCCAGCGTTACCACTTCTCACACTGGTACGTAGGACATCTACCACCTTACCACACCCCATCATCATTTTACCCACACCACTGTACTCAAAATCTGGATTCATAAGCTCCTTCCTCACCTTACCCTTCAGGTTCCTCACAAACGAGCTCTTTACGCCCTCCACCGGTTGTGTTCTCGTCACACACCCAGCAACTTCAACTACATCGGACCCATTCCCACTAACTTCAACCACCACACCACTTGTCATTTCATCGAATCCCCCACAATTTTCACCCTTTTTTAACACATTATTTCCCCGCTGTCCAACACTATCAAATGTCGCCCCTTCGTTACTTCCAATACCGTTGCCTTCCCACATATCAGTGTCACCATTAGTGACCTTACGGAATGCTTGTGTCACGTTGTGTACATCTTGTTCAGCTAACTGCTCCTCTAAAACACCTATCGTTTTCCGTAGCTCAACATTTTCCTCCACCACCTTCATCTCATCTTCCTTCACCTTGAAAACTAAGGTGAAACCATCAACTATATCCACAGCTTGTTTTTTTTTCATCCTCCTCAGCTGGTCCACCTTTGCTTGCAACTCCGCAATCGTACCATCTTTAACTCTATATTCCGTCCGAAGTGCGTATAACTCGGCTAACGCCGTCTCCAGTTTCCCATTGCCATCACCAATCCATTCCACCCGTGTTGCACATACAATACCACCAACATCCCGCTTCGCTGAACTTACGGCATCTATCGCAACACAGGGTTTACCTTTTGCAACCACACCCCCCTCCGCTTCAAATCGTCTACAATCACCACTGCCCTTGACGTTCCTTTTAGCAGCCACCCCGACACCACCCACAACTTCATTGCCACAAACACCCATGTTCACATTGTTCCCAGCCCCACTGTCACTACAAAAATCATCACTACCATTGCTATTGTATTCTCTACCCACTTCTCGATCTTCATCAATATTAGCGTCCTCCCCACCATCAAACTCTTCTCCAGCTATTATAACCTTTTCGTACGGTTGGCTCACAAGTTTGCCCCTAATCACCTGCCACAAAAAAAAAAAAACAAAATTCAATTACGCAGTACAACAAAAAAAACCAAAAAAAATTTCAAGTTGAACACACCCACAAACATAACACACATCAAACTCATACTGACGCACCTCAAACTGTGACACAGCCCCCAAATCCAAGCAGCGTGTTTTTGCCAACAGTGTGCTGATGTTCCATTTCAAAAATCGGGAGAACATTATGGGTTTAGTCGTGCACACGATGTTCGTATGCTCACAAAGCCAGTACTGTGCATGCACAAAGACAACATCAGTTACTCCGTGATACGAACAACATATTCAACAAATAATAGACAACTTCACACATCGGCAACGTGCATCACACATAGCATCAGCAAAGTAAAAAAATCATTTAACGTAAACAACATACTAGTAGCGCAACAACATAACCCGTAACTTTCTCCGAAGTCCGCCAAAATTCACGGACAGATCCCACAGCGTGTTCAAAATTGTCGCCGTCCAGTCATAATTTTGGACAGTGTCCAAGTTGTCCATGTACCGAACAAACACCCAACTGATCGTCTCCCCGGACGTCGAGAAAAATAATTTGACGCACACATATAAACACAGCAGCTTAGCAGTGTCCTCCTCATCGCGCTTCAAATTACCTTTCACCGCATCATCAAGTAAACTTTTAATCAGACTCGCTGTTATCCGCCCTACGCCATTACAACGTCGCTGAATGAAATCAGATGCAGGCCGTGTGCCCGGCGTCAGGTCCAACTGCTAGACACCACGTTGCAACCCGAAAACCAACCTAATGTCAGCTTTGCAAACTTTAACAGGACAACCGCCAACATAGAACGCGTCGTCACGTAGCCTAAACGTCCTCAGAATTTTAACCACCAGATCATCACATTTTTTGTATTCATTGAAGTCCAGTTTGTTTATAATAATGGCTTCAAACATTAGCCAAAACGGTGTTTGCCTCAGCCGCCGAAAGTATCTTTCACTCAACCCCAGCTCGAAAACAATCTTAATTACACCTGCCATATTCGAACGAAAATTAATACGATGCGTTGGTTTCCGAGGCGAACATATATGCGTTGGTTTCCGAGGCGAGCGCATATTCTGACCAACTCTTTGTGGCTGTTTAAACAAAACATGCCCCTGCAACTTCACACGAAGCCTTGACGACGATGCAACACTTGGACCCTCTAAACGTTTACGCTCAACCGACCTAGTCCACGGGCTCCTCAATGGCACAACATTAACTGTTCCACAAAACAACACCCACTCAGTGTTTTATCCAAACCACATAACATATACTACAAAACTGATGTAACACAACAAAAACTATTCAAACAAAAACTAAACCAATAACTTTCAACATCACTACCCCTTCCCCCCAACAGATTGTTGACGTCATCACACGTTCACAACACCATCGTCCGTCACTACAAACAACCCTATACATTTTTTTACATAAATGAATATATGTGCTAATAGATATTACAAACTTATGTGAGCATGTCACACACATGACGGACACCCAATTTAACAAAAAAACAACACAGAATTACAGGTTGACGACATAATGTGGAGACCAAACATGTTAAACCCACACACTTTCGACTTTCCCACAAACCCGACACATTGTTACAAACACAACAACCAAGTCACATACATACATGATGACAAAAAATAAGAGTACAAATCGAAACCAACATACCCCCCATGTCACACAGAATGATGGACCACACACCCAGACAACTGCCCCCCCAACAACCAAACATGCCGACCCACCATTCAACAACTTTCAAAACAAAAAACAACACAGAACATCACTACAACAAAAAACGAGAAAAAAACTTACGATTGTGCGCCATTGCCACCGTCGAAGTTCGTCCCACACGTCTATGTTCACAGCGTCCAAACCCAACAAACACACTGCGCCTCCAACACACAATTTCGAAAACAAATATGGACAATCTCACTCGAAACCCTACCTTATTCCTGCGAATCCCAAATCAATATCCAAAACCCCACCCAATTCCACAGAATCCCCCAAATCCAGTAACACTAAAACGGTAACACCAAGAAATTAGGGATTACGCGACACTGTTTGCTTGATTTGGGGTTTTGCCTAACATAACACGCGGGTCGTTTCGTATGGGTCAGGTTGCACGTGTATGACTACACATCGTCATACACCCACAACATCACTAAAAACTACTATAGGCCTTTTGCCGCCGTGACACCCAATCACACCCCACGCATAACCCAACAAATGAGGGCATTTCAGGAAGATACATTACCACAGGACCAAACGGAATAATAAAAGAATTTAAGGACTAATTGAACCAACATTCCACATTATGAGATTTATCAGTAACTCTCCCTTAATATAATAGGTCATACATATTTTATTTTTTATTTTTTATTCAATTACCGTGATTGCATAAAATAGTATGATAAATATAATATGAACTCATAAAAAGTATAGCATTATTCACCAAAGAAACACAGTTCCAAAGGATCACCCTTACACTCTCAGTCATTAGCTCCAATGAGTTTTAATGACATCATCCCAACACACTCATATGATAGGTTGAACATTTAATTGGGCGTAAGGTTGACAAAAATTTTCAACCTGATTGTATTTGTCAAAAACTTGATTCTAAAAAAAAATAAATATTAGGAGAGCTTTAATAAAGTAGGATTACATATAGGGATACATGGGTCAAAATGGTCAAGATTAAAATAAAATATGAAATTGTATAACTAAAGTAATTAAATTCAAAATAAAAAATTCACGTGTAAAACACGAATATCCCAACTCGTTGCCATCCCTAATTTGGGTGTGTAAACATCATAAAATTCTATCTGTACCAGTGTCAAGTATTGCAAGTTCACATACCTTGCTTCTTAGTGACTCCCCTCCCTGTAAATGTTATTTTTGTTCATTTAAACAAAATAGAATAAATGATCATTCTATCAAAATATTACTTCTTACATTTAATTCACTACAGAAAAGAAAAGAAAAGGAAAGAAAAGAAAATACATTACAAATGAAATCAATGTTTATTATTGTTAAGAAATAATCATTCTATTTCAATCCACCTTGTGAATCAAACAATAGCTTCAGAAGAAGCCAAATATATATTCTGTATTTCAGTTTTCAAAAAAAACTCCAAGCATTAGATTACTCAGCCAAACCTATGAACACTCTTATCATTCTTTAAATATACAACGAACTTAAGCTGTCCATTTTGATCTAAACATTTGAACAATCAGGTATACTAGAATTTCAACAAGACATGCAATCATTTTGACCAACCATTTTGATTCATGTCATTCTACAAGGAAAATGATGTCGCGTGCTAAAATGTTTGTGTTATGCACTTCTCTATATCAAGAGTGTAAAAAAGAACAAAATACACCTATGACAGACCAAATTGTTACTTCTCACAACACATCTCTATTGTTGTTTCACAAAAAATTTGCAGCATCTCAATGCCCCTAATCATGTAAATTCACTTTCAACAAATATTCTCTTTGACAACAAAAAAAAAAAAAAAAAAAAAAATTTGCTCTCCTACTATTTCTTGACCTAAACCAAAGCTTTCAATACTTGATTATAAGTTATACACAGAACTTATGCTTAAATAATCTGATGTACATCACAAGTATAATAGGATACAATTTCTTAGAAGAATACAATCAAGCAGAATTTACCTGTTTAATCAAACCACTCACTGACTTCACCATTTTTGCAGATTGTACATCCAAGTTTACTAGGTGACATCAATCAATCTTTTCTCTGGCTTTTATTTGATTTTTTATTTTGTAGTAAATTTTTTCAAAATTTATCGGTTTTGTTGTACTTTTTAGGTACTAGTATTCTACTAGAAGCTACTAAGAACTACTTTAAAAAAAGAATCAAATCTGAACAAATCTACTAAAAGCAAAAGTAACAAGAAAATCAGATTTTTTTAGTGGACTTTTTTCAAATTTAGTTAATGTAAAATAATTTGATGTATTTTTTTTACAATTATTTGGTGCAATACAATCCAGTCAAGAAGCACGTAAAAACTAAAAAAGGTTGACACATAATTAAAAAATTCACGAAAAAAAAAAGAAAAGAAAAAAAAGAAAGAAAAATCTAGCTTAAAAGCTGGATTTGTGGTGTCCTGTCCCAGCCCCAATCACTGCAATGATCGTCAATAATAATAAAATTAAAAAAAAAACAAAAAAAAAAAAAGTCAATTGCTTGCCAATTACCTTGGTAATTCCGAAGCTTTCTTATTTGAGTCGGTTCAGCTCCTCCATTAGATCATGTAGTAATGTCAACTTTGCCATGGATGGATTTCCAAGAGTCGTATCCATAATTGTTACTTCAAAAAATTCACCTGCAAAGCCAACTGGATCTGGAAGTGGGTAACTCTGATTGACCTACACATATCCACAAACTGCAGAGAAACAGAGCATTCTAGGAAGAGAAGAAGTTTTGGGGCATCTGTTAATAAAATCATCATTTTCATCGTCTTGCTAAAATGCTTTTCTAAAAAAATTCAGCTTTCAATACCAATATTTGAGTGTGTAAAACTATTATGGTTTAACTGCCCAAGACTTCGTAATAGGGAAGGAACCATATATGAAGCATGAAACAAAATTGAGTTAATAATGGCCATATGAGAAAAATAAAGGAAAAGAAAAAGGGTTTCATGAAGCATAACGAGTTGCGTAGGATGTTGTTCCAAATGCCATGAAATGGATCTATTTAAAGAATCACAAATTTTAGGAATGTAAGAATAACAAACCATGTTTAGTTAAGTTCTCAGGTAAATTGACTCCATAAGTGGCCGAAAAATAAAGTCAAGATAAATACACTTTTGTGCATAAAGTAACTAGAAAGCTAGAAAGTTGGTATGAATCACCAAATCAGTATTTCTCTCCCAGCCCTTTTCAAAGTTTGATGTCTAACTCGATACCCACCACATCCATTCAGTGCCAGCTAACTATATATCCCCTGCTTATATATAACATCTACTCAAAATCTGAAAATCATGGTTCCACCATGTTGCCAGCTCTTTGAATGTCAATACAATTTCTTCAATCTCAAAATACCTTCAGATGAAACTCCCATAATAATTTGAAGAACATGAGACAAATAGCTTTCCCATTTCACATTATCTTCTATACAAGTACTTGGACAAAGGAAACTTCAGGCTCCTCGCTACCTATCAATCATTTCAAAAAAAAAAAAAAAAAAAAAAAAAAAAAAAAAAAAAAAAAAATTATAACAATAAGTAGAAACTAGATGGAGCTTGTTTCCATCACACACAAATGTTATAGAACTTCTGTATTACCTTTAAAGCCATATCTTCAGAAACTGTAGATCGGTAGCGAGTTGAGCCCTCCAATGGACAGCTACTTCCTTTGCTGATAAAATTAGCATTGCAGAGACTGGATAGTTGCAATAGAACATCAGACATAAGTCCACTATCCCCGCTCTCCACACCCAACCCATTATTTCCTTCTTCTTCATCAAGTGAACATTCTGATACAGATGTGATACACTGAAATATGGCTAATAACCTCTCCAATGGAAAAGTTCCTGGTCCTTTCATGAGTGATTCTTGTTCTGCAGTTTCTTTCAGCTCGAGTGATTTTTCTGAACTCCTAATGGGAAACAAGTCGATAAAGAAAATAAAATTACATTTATAGTGAGTCAAGCTATGTGCATACAGATTATATAAGGCAAAGAAATATTATGACAGTAGTAGGAGGTAATCAGTCAGAAATGAAGAAATAAAAACATATACATATAAAATATATTCAAGTGTGAATAGAAAAGCAAAGCAATATTAGAAAGATGAAGCACAATAAAGATTGCTATGGTTAGAGATATTAATAAGCATAAATTTCTATAAGTAATCATCATCGTATATGAAAAATATTAGCCAGATCTTAAATAAAATTTACAGAGAAAAGGCTGTTGCACAGAAGACTACATTTACAGGAAGAAAAAGTTTTTGTTTTTTCGCCATCTAAATCTCACAATAGTAGAATTTTTACAAGCAAATATATCAAGCTAAAACAAGTGGAGCATGACTTACTATGACCTTCAGCCCAGAATTATATCAGATAAAAATATTGATTTGTCAATTTACTTACTTCCTCTTTCGTTTTCGATTATCCAAACCCCCGGTTGAGTCAAACATTGATGCATCAAGGGTGGCAGGATTTCTTGAAGCAAGGAAGGCTGAAATAAGAAGATACTTAGCAGAAGTAGACATATGGAAATCCACCTCATCTAATGGTTGAGAACCCCCCAATTTCTGCATAGTACCCTTCCGTTTGGCCTTTTCTTTCCTGGCTTCAACTTCAGAGGAAGACTGAGACGATGAAACCCTAAATATCTCATTCAAAGACAGTGCAATGTCAGGTTGAAGATGACTAAACAACCTTCTCTTCATTTCTTCATTGGGAGAAATGCTAATGTCACTTAATGGTTCACAATATTTTTTGAACAATGGTGAAAAGGCAGCAGATAGTTCATCAACCCGTCGTGTAATTCTACAGAATGGCTTCAGTACCACACTGTTTAAAAACAAAACTCATTAATTGAATGATGCAAAGGAAAAGATCATAATGACAGAATTGAGAACAACAAACTATTAGTGTTCTTACTCGAGAAAAGATGAATAAAGTTTCAGATTTGCTTGGTTCCTCATGAAGATTTGACGAAAATCATCTTCGGTATAATCAGGAAACTGAACAGGAATTGGCTCTATGTAACCTGTATCAGAGTAATATGTATCGGGCGAGGTTTTACTAATAAAAATCAAACCCATTTCAGGAATCTTCAGAATATCATAGAGCTTAAACAGAAAAGGCAATATGTTGGCACTCTTATCCCAATTGCGAACAAGCTCCAAGTTATCAATTATCAAGTAAACCATCTTTCCATTAATCAATCGCACTGACTTTTTCGAGGTTGATTTTCCCATTTGCCCCTTGAGGTTATTTACAACATTCAACAAGGCTTCGTGTAAAAGATTAACAAAATCAGAGGGCCTTTCACATCGTTTTGCACTCGTGTAACCATTACCAACATCTTTCCTGTGACGCAACAACTGATTCAAGATGGATTCAAACAAAATCCGAGGATTGTAGCAAGTGAGACAACTCGAGTAAACAAATGGCCTGTTTAAGTGTCGAAAAATTTGAAGAACTGCACTTGTTTTCCCAGTCGAAGTGCTTCCGTATATAAACAGAGGGATTGTTGGAGTATTTAAGGGACCCAAAAGGCGAATTAGATCAAGAATCTGAATGTCCCTACCTGGAAAACTAGAAATCAAATCAGAAAAGCTTATGGGTTTATCTCCAAATAGGAGATCGTTGAGTGTCAGAGGTTGGGGATTATTAGTTTTCGCGGTTTGAATTGAATTGTTCAAATTGGGGGTAGATGAGGAGGATCTTGTTGTTCTTCTGGTAACTTGTGGACTTTCTTCTTTACCCATATCTTAAAAAATGTGCAAAATGCAAAATTTCTGTCAGATAATAAAAACCCATATTAGACACAAAGCTTGAAAATTAACAACAATGAAGGAGTCAAAAGCACCAAGTACTCCAAACAGAATTAGAAATTGGAGAGGGATAAAAAAACAGGACAATATCTATCAAGACGCAATATCTCTGAAAGCATATATATGGATTGGTTTATTAAATTGACATGTGAGAAATCACCAAACACAAACAAACATGAAAATATTTACCAATTCGCAAGTTCTGTATGAAGCACAGCAACACCAACTCTCTCTTTCTCTTCTAGATTTTCTAGATCTCTCTCTAGATACCCATGTCTTAAAAAATGCACAGAATTGAAAATTTGGGTCAGAAAATGAAAACCCTAATTAGGCTACCGAGCTTGAAAATTATCAATTTTTAAAACTAAATTGAAAACTTTGAAGGAAGTGAGAAGGCAAACACATATACTTGTGCATATATTTGATGTATATATATATATATATATAATGATTGAAAGAAAGAAAAAGGAGATTGAAGAGCACCTGATCAGAAATTTCGAGAACCCTAATTTCAACAACTGAGGGTTGCAGAGAGAGGAAAAAATACTCCCATAGAAAAAGGAAAAAAAATGTTTCCCGCCAAAATATTTTATACTCTGCGGTTAAGTGTATCCTTCCATTTCATGAATGAAGAGATACACGGCTGCCGTTGAGCCACATCAGGTGGAGGAGCAAGTGAAGCGGAACGATGTCGTTTCGAAACCTCGCAAACGGCGTTGCTGGACACGCTTCCAGATCAGAACCTCTATTTCATGATGACATGAGATGAGAATAAGCACTGTATCACGCATTTTATAATTTATATATATATATATATATAATTTTAATTTTTTAAGTTATAATTAAAAAAATATAACATGCGACATAATTAAATAACTTATAAATTACAATTAAAATAATATTCAGTGTGTTTGGTTTGAATTTTTTGAATTAAATTTTTTGGTTTTCGTGTTTTTTTTTTATATTTTTAGTGAATATTTTTAAAATTTTAAACATTTTTTTAAAATTTTTTTAGATGCACCTTACTTAGATGTATCTAAAAAGTAAAAAAAAAAAATTGTGAAAAATATTTTAAAAAATTAATAAATACGTAAAAATACAAAAAAATGTACTGAATTCTCATTCTTTTTTTTTTGTATTTTTGGTATTTAGTGAATTTTTAAAAGATTTTTTTTTTTACAAATTTTTTACTTTTTAGCTATCTTTATGTTGGTATGTCTAAAAATTAAAAAAACTTGCTTAAAATATTAAAAAAATTCAGTAAAAACAAAAAAAATACGGAAAATAAGAAAGTAGAATCTTCTGAAAAGTGCTTTTGGAAAACTCCAACCAAGCAAGGTAACTAAAGAAGAAAATTAATCATAACTGTTACCAAAAATTCAGTTTAACCTAATCGACACTAATTGATCGACATGCTTCAACTAATTTTAATAAACACAAAAAGATCAGATTTTGTGGTTGAATTCTATGCTTTAAACAGATTAAGAATTTTACTGGAGGTAATTAAGTAAAGAATGATCTGAATAGAAAATAATGTGTATTTATTCAATTAAACTGTTACTTGCTATTAGTTATAGGAATTTAAACAAGAATAAAGAATTGAAAAATACATCAATCGACAGAAAGAAAAGAAGTGGGGTTGAAAAAAACTACTAATTTACTACTAAAATGGCTAATTTAGAACTGCTACTAAATAACTCTTCATGAGTGTGCTTGATGGTTGTTTATGATTGATTCCATCATTCCTTAAGTGTTCCTTTTATACTTGTTTGGTCATTTCATGTTATAGTCATCAATTCATGATCTTCCTTGATCTTTGCCCCACTCAACCATATCCCATCTTCATAGGAACTATTTGCAGATTTTGTACTTTGATTTGGTATTGATCCTCGAATTTTAGCATATGATTTCTAATGGATTCTAACAGATATCTTTACTGGCTTTTATTTAATCTTTTCAAGCCATATCATCATCTTTTTCATGCCACGTTACTAATATATTTGTCATGCCATGTCAGCATATTTGTCAATAGGAATAATAATAATAAATGTGGCCAAAGTTACTCTTAAAAAATAGTCTATGGTCTTAATCGACAGACCATAATCGAACTTGGCCATAGTCAACAGGCCATAATCGATAGAAACATAAAATGTGGTGTTAAGAATGCCTCTTCATTTAAATGGATTGAAAAATAAAATGAAATTAAATAATTTATAAGACGATTTACACAATCAACAAAAAATATTTATGATGCAAACAATGCCCCCCACTTGATTTACATCACAAGTATTTTCTAAGGCTTGACATTACCGATAAATGGTGTAATTTGAGCCCTTTTTGTATTTACTGAAGCAAGGCATATTACACTTCTAACATTTAGCACTATTTCAAATTTTGAAATAAAAATAATTAATTGGCCCTTTGTCGATACAAAGTATAGCCAATTGGCCATTAGCTATTAAACTGGCATGTGTTGACACTAAACAATTAGCCATTAAATTGGCCTTCATGCAAAGAATAACCAATTGGCCGTTGGCAATTTATTGGTTTGGCTATTATATAGCCATTTTTTTTTTATTCCATCAAACTTACATAAGATATTATTTTTGTTAACTAGTTTATCAAAATTAACTTTTGATGTGAACCACAAACCCATAGTGGTCGTTGGGTAGCAGAAACCATAGTATCAAATGGTTTTAAAAAGTCAAAACTTTTGACAAATTTAACGATGTTAAAAAATTAAAATTCAACAAATGTGGATTGTTTATAATTTTTAGCCATGTTTGGCTTAAAATCATGCCCCCCACGTTCATAATTTTTAGTCATCTTTGGCTTAAAATTATGTCCCAAAGTGAATCTTCACCATTATTTTGTGATTGTTCTTTTTTAGCCATTAATGGCTTGTCACTTTTTGCCACATTTGGTAAAATATCATGCCTCCCAAGTGAACCTTTATTATCAGAATTCTCAATATTTTTTGAAAGAAGGGGTTGTTTTTTAATTTTAGCCATTAATGGCCTATGAAAAATTTCCAAAGTCATATTATCTTCATGACTTCGTGTGCTAACCCTTCGAGCTACATATCTTGGCTTTTCGAAAATATGTGTATTAACTCTATGAGCCACATTATTTTCATATCTTAATGTTTCATTGGCCATTATGCCTTCTAATTTTTGCTTCCAATATAGAATTTATTCATCAATTAGAAAAATTTGGCATTTAAGTCGATGAATTTTTTCATCACAGCAATTTAAATCTCTTTGCATCAAATAATACAGAAATGATGAAATTATTTGAAATATTTGCCTATAAAGAGAATTAATTTCTTCTTTTAGGATTAAAATTTCACTCCCACACCAATAAATTTCATCATCACAATGCTAAATCATTCTTTTAAAATCATTTGTCATACCATTATGTTGGCAATAAGCAATAGAACCACCACCATAACACTGACAATTTTTAGAATATGAGGCATTACACTAATAATCTGTATCCATAGAAATACTGCCACTCCATTGGCGGTTTGCATCCATGGGTTCACAAGTTGTAAACATGCCACTTGAAGGCATGATTTCATACGCATTAGTTTGCTTCTTTATTGCCATTACTCCAAGTTAGAATGGTCCCACTGGGCGTGCTAATTTATGTTAGCAAAAATTAGGGTTAGGCCTAATCAACAATGATTGATTGACAAACTTAAACAGATTTTAAATAAACACAAAACGATCAGACTTTGTGGTTGAGTCACATACCTTAAACAGATTAAGAACTTCCCTAGAGTTAGTTAAGTAAAGAAGAAATTGAATAGAACAAAATATGTATTAATTCGAATAAATTGTCACTAGTTACAAGAACCTAAACAAGAACAAAAAATTAAATAAATACAGCAATCGACAGAAATAAGAGAAATGAGGGGTTGGAAAAGCTACTTGTTTAATGTACTCCTAAAATGGCTAATTTAAAACTACTCATAAATAACTCTTCACGAGTGTGATTAATAATTGCTTATGATTGATTCCATTATTCCTTAAGTCTTCCTTTTAAACTTGCTTGGCCATCTCATGTTATAGTCATCAATCCATGATCTTCCTTGATCTTTGTTCCACTCAACCATATCTCATCTTCCTAGAAACTACTTGTAGATTTTGTGCTTGGACTTAATATTGATCCCCCAATTTTAGCATATGGTGTCTAATTAATTTTAATAGATATCTTTACTGGCTTTTATTTAATCTTTACAAGCAACACCATCATCTCTTTCATGCCACGTTACTAGCATATTTGTCACGCCATATCAGCATATTTGTCGATAGGAATAATAATAATAAATGTGGCCAAGGTTACTCTTAAAAAATAATCTATGGTCTTAATCGACAGACCATAATTGAACTTGACCATAATCAACAGGCCATAATTGATAGAAAAATAAAATGTGGTGTCAACAATAATTATTAAAAAAAAAATTAAGATGCATATGATACACCATTTTTAAAAGGGATATATATTAGAATTTTCCTAAATTTATTAATCTTTTCTAGTTGTTCCACTAAAAAAGATTGAGAACATAAATTTGATTAATCTTTCTTGAGAATTATTCCAGAGTGAACTGACTACTTAGCATCTTGATTTGCAAACTGAATTTGAAAGATTTTAGCCATCTCGTGTAGAAAGTTTTGCTGGGCAAACCTTGAAATTTCGTCTTGAGGATTGGGACACATGAAAAATTTATTTATGAAAATCTGTCTTGAGGATTTTGCAGACCATTCCAACTTTCTCTATTGAAATTTAGTCTCGAATTGCAAGCATATTGAGTTCCATGAGACCCCAAATTTTGAAAATTTTCAAAAAAAACCCTTAAACTTGGAGAAAGTTTTTGAAAATATGAAGGAAAAAAAATCCCTAGATTTCCAAGGGAAAACAAGACTTTATTAGTTTTTTCAATGCAATTGTTCTCTTACAGATCCACTCAACTGTTAACAGGCCCGTTTCTCTTAGGAGCAGGCTCCTCTCTAGTCCAAATCTGATTGGAGGGTGCTTTTGGCACTCCATGGGACACTACTAAACCTGTATTGATAATTTGAACCGTTTAATATGTAGAGATCATCAAGTATTTCATCCTTATAAAATATTACGATAATCGGATATCAATATCCACTTGATTTGATCACATACAATAAAACTGAGTTTTTACAGCTTCAAATTAACGACATACAGTAAATGCAAGCTATGATTTCTCATTTTTACGACTTACTTTTTTTGCATGTCGTAAATAATTTCCCAACCACAACGTGTCTATTACATAGGCCGTGAGTGCTAATAATGATGATTTTTTTTTACGGCTTGCAATGTTAGTCGTAAATAATAAAACTTTCTATGACGTGCATATGGTATGCTGTTAATACATCAACTATACATGACACGCGTACACCAGCTGTCAAAAATATTGAACATTTCACGATGCACAAAAAGCCAATCGTTAAAAATATTACACTTTTTACGATGCACAAAAAGTCCGCCATTAAAAAGTACACTTTCCACGACG